CGCTTAGAGAGGCCTGAAAGGCCTATGAAGCGGTATATAAGTCTACTGCTATTGCTATTGCTATTACATGAGCTGCACTCATTCCCAATTTGTTTTCAGATGCAATTCCATGGGTTGGCTATTACCTTTAGAGTTCTAAACATATAGGTCCGGTTATTTACAGAAATGGTACCCTGAGGATATCTGATATCAAAGCTCCTATTTATGAAGATTTAGCAAACTGAGATATCAAAATGAATAATTATTATAAATTGTTCTTTACTTCTTCAATGAGATTGAATATGATGAGATCATACTGAGTTTTTGTGATTTTATTTAGCTTTATGACATAGCTGCATAGCCCTTATTTATAATCACCTATGTGGTGTGGGTTACCTGTAAGATACACTCTGGGTTCAGTGATTGGGTTAATTGATTTCAAACAATTAGTTTAATTAATTTCTCACTGCCAACTATTCAGAAATTTTGTGCTAAGAATGTTCATAACTTTTAAAAATATCTTTAATTTTTTGGGAGTTTTTGATTTTTTTTTTAAAGCAAAGCAAATGCTGCAAGGCAAAAAACAATATCTGCAGATCCAACATCAGTTGCCAGAAATGGCTGGTTAGGGCTAACTAGTTTTTACAAATTCTAAGATACTCTGATTTCGGTGGCTGTGTTTATGGCAACTGAGCACACAAAGGCTGCTCGACTGAGGCCTTGGATCCAGTCATTATGACCTCAGCAAATGGCATTGGTGCGGATAAGCCAGCCCTCTGTCAGTAAATGATCTGTTCCAGATGTGTGGCCCTGAGAATGGGAGGGAGGGGGAGAAGCCTTCTCCTTGTTCAGTGAAAGTACAGAGCTTTGGGAGATGAAGGTGGGCTGATACTGTTGGTGGGTGGTTTTGAGTCACACATGGAAGGGAAAAGGCAGGGAGCTTATAGAAATCAATCTTGGATACAGCTGCTAGGCCTGGTTTCTAGAGGCAGAATTGTGTTTTGCTTGGTTCTCTCTTGGATTTGGTCCAAAACTTGCATGATGTGATACATCCATTTAAAGAGGCCCAAGTTGGGAAAACAGCACTAAGCTGGGTTGAAGCTAAGAGCAAGTGTGCTACCGTCTAAAGAACTGCACCTAACTCTGGAGCTTTGCCTCTATAGTATAGGTCTGCTGAGTGGTTTCTGGCTTCAGTTCTATTAAATTATCATATTTTGATGATTTAGAGGCAACTGTAATTAAGGATTCCAGTAAAGTACTCTAGCTTGTGAAGTATGATAATTCTAGATGGTGATGAGCTGGTTAAACATTAAATTAGAGGCTAGGTTAACTGAAGCGAAGAGCAACATTTGAAATAAATATTCCAAACTCTGCACTCTGAAACAAAATGACAATACATTTAACACTAAATATGTTAACTTGCTCTTCCCTAGAAACTCTTTTTGGGGTGTATAGTTGCGCTGTATGATTTCCTTGGATCTTTGGGATCTCTCTGTTTCTTCCTACTTGGGAATCCACTTGCCTATAGCCAAGAAAACCTCTTTTAAAATCCCAAAGAAGCTTCTACTGTATGGGATCTATTCAAAATTAATATCTATAATATAAAAATCACTTTAGAAAAGTGTCATCATCGTTGCTATCATAATCATCATGATATATCTGTGAGGAAGCTAAAGATAAACATAAGCAATGCTCAGGAGTGATTTTAGACTCAGGAGCATTTTAGACAACTAGTCAATATAGTGAATATAGAAAAACAAGTAGAAACAGCTATTATAGCAGGGGTGAAATTCAGCAGGTTCTGACAATTTGAGTAGTTCAGAGAACTGATAAATACCACCTCTGGCTGGCTCCAGAGAGGGATAGGAATGGGGATTTTGCAGTATCCTTTCCCTGCCATGCCCACCAAGCCACGCCCACAGAACCAGTAGTAAAAAAAGTGAATTTCACCACTGCATTATAATCTATATAATTTGACCCCCTATTCATTGCAAGAATCACAATTAAGTTGGTGTTAGAATTCTATGATTGGTGGCTGGTTGACAAGGTCCAAATAGCAGCCATCTAAGAAAAGGATCACGAAAGTGGCAATGGGCCCTCTAATTAGGGGATAAGTCTGGGTCACAGATTTTATGGTTTAGCCAGACCTGCAAACGAGTTAGATACATTATTTTATCAGGCTACTCTTGAACCAGCTACAACATGACTTGGATTAATTCTGATATCCACTTAAGGGTGGAGGAATACCCAGAGGGGTGGAGATGTTGTTCAAATTATTGGAATGTTATCTTGACATGCAGCCTTGTTGTATCAAAATGGGAAGATCATGTGTTTTATTGGAATTAACAATCAACAGCTGGGCTAAAGGTATCCAGGATTTGGGGTGAAAAAAAATCATTAAAAAAGTCAGAAGAGAGCCAAAAAATTCTCATTGGTTCTTGACCAAACTATCAACTTATAAAGACTGTTTATTCTCCCAATATAAAATAAAACATTGCAAATCATGGGAGGCGAAGCCCAACATATTTGGGAAGAACTGTGATGAAATAGATGAATTATGTATATAAATGTTAATTCAAAGGAAATTGTTAATCAATTAGTCATTGTTCTATATGTGATAGTGCAAATGAATACATGAACACTCAAAACAAGTGTTCTTAAATCAAGGTTTACTTGGCTATTTCTAGAAGTATGATTTAAAAAAAAATCATGTTAGTGACTCTGACGCATGTACGCATGCACACGCATGCACACACACATTGATTTCCAAGTATCTAGTTAAATGAGTTCTGTCAAAAAAATAAGGAAAATCCTCTGTCAAGATAATACTAGGGAATTATTTCTATGTGGCACAGATTTTTCAAGGCTTTAGAAACCAATAGGACCTGGGAGCAGGTAAGTTCATATGTTAAAGTTGCTCCAGAGAAAAATACTGGGATAGCATATGCCAAGATATGTTACTTCAGTTACGAAAAACAGAAATAAGATTTCCATGATTTATAGCTATTTTTGCTCACCACTACCAACAATATTCATTAATTTGGCTATAGGCAGTTCTGCTTTTAAATGGCATAAGCAGGAATAAAATGTAATCAACTGGTGCTGTTTTCATGAGAAATGTGTTACTTGGAAATAAGGATCATTTTGTAGAAAAGGAAAAAGATTTTTTTAATAAATAAAACAAATGAAATGCAGCCTATGTGGGATAGACAGCATCACTACCAGATGGATTCTTAAATTGTAGCCCTTGGTAGAACTACATCTACATGGAGGAAAGAAAGCAGGGTACCCCAACGTTCTGTCTTCTGTGCTCAATATCTTCATAAATTATTTAGGCAAGAGGATCGAAGGGGACCTCATTAAATTTGCAGATGACACAAAGCTGGTGGGAGGATAACCTACACTTTAGGAGATAAGCTCAAGATCCAAAAGAATCTTTATAGACTGGTCCCTATTCAACAAGATGCAATTTAGTGGTAAGAAAACGAAGGTCTTACATTTAAGCACCTCTGTCATCACTACTGCTCCACTTCTGCTGGGACTGTTGCCATGGAGCCATAGTTGGGACCACTGTTTTATAGACAGCCACTTAAATATGAGCCAGAAACGTGTTGTATCTGCCAAAAAAGTCAATACACCTTAAACTGCATAAGCAAAAGGATAACATCAAGATAATGTGAAGTGTTCATATTGCTTTATACTGCACTGGTAAAACCATACTTGGAACACTGCATCCAGTTTTGATCACCATGATACAAAAAAGATGTTGGGATGTTTTGCTGTTCTGAAATCATTTATTTTATTGATTAAATGATTATGCCCCACACAAGTAGACTCTGGGGCTGAAATTGTTCAGTAAGTCATTATACTAGTGAGCATTTTCATCATATTGTTATGTATTTATGGTAAAATACCCAAATGGCTATCATATGATAATATCTTTCCCTCTCTCTCCACCAGTTGTATATATATGGCCCATATATATACTATATGTATGTATGCATGCATGTATGCATGTATGTATATGTATATATATGTATGTGTGTTTGTGTATGTATGTATGTATGTATGTATGTATGTATGTATGTATGTATGGAGAGAGAGAGAGAGAGAGAGAGAGAGAGAGAGAGAGAGAAGGGAGGGGGGGAGAGAGAGAGACAGGGAGGGAAGAAGAGAAAGACCTCTTTTTCACACCCACATCCTGGCCAGGATTTAGTCCTTTTTCTTGCTCTTAATGTTTAAGACTGAAGCATATTTTTGCAGTTTTTCTTTGTGGCATCTTTTAATTCTTAAAACTAATACATAAGTTAGTTGAGCAGTGCAGATGTTAACACTGCCTTAGGGCTGTCTGTCCTGGGTCTGGTTTTGCACAGGGAGAGAGACAGTGTCTGCTTCCAACAGCTTGATGTTCCCTGCTCTTCCCTCTGCCCTGACTGCCCATTTGGAGCTTTCTCTTGGATTTCACAACCAAGTTGACTGAGTGAAGAAAAAATTGCCAAGTTGAGGCACCCTGGGCCTTGTAAAGCTGCAGGGCTGCGAACGGCACTCTGTTGCTGGCAGGCAGGGTGACCTGAGATGGCCGTCCCGGGGTTACAGAGGTTCTGGTAATTCTGAATGGGTGGGGAACTGGGAAAGAGAAGTTAGTCTTACTGAAGCAAAGCCCCCGGGAGCAGGGCTTGCTCCTGAATCTCATTTTTCACATGTCTCCTGCACTCTCACTACTAGCCCCGTAAGAGGAAAGGAGGTGCTTCCTGTTATTCTGATTCAAATCTCAAGCTGGTCACAGGATAGAAGCAGACTGCCTATGCTTCAGAGTGGCAGGCTGTACAAGATGGATGGCCATGCTCTGCTCTTGAGACTGCTTTTGCTGGTTTCCACAGGTAAGCGGTTCTCCAGGTTGGGTAAGATATGGCACAGGGTACTTGGGGCGGTGCGGCACTGGAGAGCTCATAGTAGCTTTGGTCTCTGGACTGGCAAGTACAATGAGGGTCCTCACCCAGACAGTTCATCTCGGACAGGTTGGAAGGACATTTTAGGGAATGCTGAGGGGATGGTTAGACTTTGGAATCCAATGCTTAGAGCTTTCTGTGATCCTGCTTCTTACTTGAACGGGCTCCATATCGTAGGTCTAGCCATGCCGTCTGCTCTCTGCATGTGCCCCACCCAATTTATTTTCTTATTCGTCCATTATTTTTCCTGATCCCATATCATCACGATTTCTTTCTGTCTCAAAGAACCAATGAGGGTTATTTTACAGATATAAAATCCTGAGAATTGAGATGCCCTCTTGTCCCGCCCTTCAGTTTTGCTTATACTCCTCCATCCCTCCACAAGAAGAATGCCAGCCTTTGACAGACCAAGTTTCTCTATATCCAAGCTGTATTAAGCCTTTGGCAGAATTTGTGAAGCCACTTGCATTCTGACCCTGGCTGAACTGGGGATGAATCAGAATGTCTTGTGAAATACTTTTCTTCTTCTTTTCTTTTTGTTTGCAATGATTTCAGAGAAGAAATGAAAGACATAAGTACCTTGCTTTAGCGTAGCTTTTCATGTATGGAGACCTACATGGAGGGCTACATTAGTTTCTATTAAAAATGCTTTGACACTGTGGAGGAGTTGTACTTTTCTACCATACAGGTGTAAAGGAGTAAAGGACCTCTTTTGCTGGCCAGATCCATTTATTCTCCTAACGCTTCTTAGAGATCAACTTATAGGATCCAAACTACAGTTTGTCAAAAATAGAGATCAGATGTATTTTGCTTATAGAACTGATATGTTCAGAATGGCACAAAGAAGTAGTCCAAATGATACACTTCACAGTTTCAAATCTGACAACTGCTACCCATTACTGTGGGGAGAATGCAAAAAGCAAATAAATATTTTTTATAGCGTTATGCAGAACCTCTTAACACAATATCTTGCTTTTCATTATAGCAATTCCTCAAACTCAGAGAAGTTTTATATGTCTCAGTGGGGCAAAAATCAGTGGGTTAAGTAATATGGAGCAAAGCAAACTGTTTTGACCCACTGACGAAGTTCACAAACACAGAGTCATGTACATCGTTATTAGGACCATATGTCCAAAATCATAACAAATAAGTCCAATGTTTTAAAATATATGTTAAGGACAATGTGGTCAGAGGCTTAAAAAAAGAATGGAAAAGGACATATAACATATAGAATGCTCGTTACACCTTATTTTGGGGGGTGGGAACACCCCCCCCTAATTTTTGAAAATCTACTTGGTATAATGTAATTTATTTGATTCTGCATCTCCTCTACTTTACTATATGACTTCAACAATGCATGCTTCAAAGAATTAGTATTAAATGTGCTTTTTGACCATTTTCCTTTCTCAACTTTTTGTGGCCTTATCTTGATTAATTAAGAATTCAGTCTTGGAAAACTGGACATAATTATGTCTATGTTAGGCTCTTTGTAATGAAGATATTGACTGAGGATTTGGAGTTAAAATCATATGATGATATCCAACAGCACAAGGCAAATTGAGGTAAAGGTTATCTCAGGTAGAGGAGATAGAGGATCGTTATGGTTAATGTTTTCTCTGGGGTGGGATTCTGCTCCCCATTGTTATCCCAACTCAAAATTCCAAACTTGTTTGTGAGTTTGCACTATCTTGAACTTTTAATAGGATTTTCTGCCCTTCCCCCCCAATGGCTTTAGTTTGGACTTCTGCTTAATTCTAAATTTCTAAGTTAGATTTTTTCCTGAGGTTATTTTTACATTGTCTCCTTTTTCTCTCAATTGTAGTGGCTATTACACTTCATGCTTTTTCTGGGACAACAGTATCTCCCCAAAATGCTACCTTCTCTTTCAAAAGTCTAAATCTTACGATTCAGGAAATTAAAGGTAAGCTACAAATGAAATGGGGTAAAGAATTTGGTAAAGATTTTCTTATAGTGTTAGAATCCAGGTTTATCCCACGACATAGAATGGAGGGGAAAAATGAATCTTATTTGTATAGCTTTGCTTATTTTAGATAGCAGAGGGATGAACTAAGAAATCTGCACCTATAAAATGTGGCAATGGGCACTGATCTGCAAAACGTTTGGAAAGATTCAGAAGGATAAAACTTTAAATAGCTGTTAATCATGACAAGTTATTTATCATGACCGGTTGCTTCTTTCGTCCAAGATCAGAAGCAACACGTCAGTCTGTCATATTCTATATGGGGGTTTTCTTGTGTTTGGAAAAACAGGATGCTTGGCTAAGATAAAGGTAAACGTTCCCCTCGCACATATGTTCTAGTCGTTCCCAACTCTAGTGGGTGGTGCTCATCTCCATTTCAAAGCCGAAGAGCCAGCGCTGTCAGAAGATGTCTCTGTGGTTATGTAGCTGGCATGACTAAATGCCGAAGGCACATGGAATGCTGTCACCTTCCCATCAAAGGTGGTCCCTATTTTTCTACTTGCATTTTTCCATGCTTCCGAACTGCTAAGTTGGCAGAAGCTGGGACAAGTAACGGGAGCTCATTCCATTATGCGGTGCTAGGGATTTGAACTGTCGAACTGCCGACCTTTCTGATTGACAAGTTCAGTGTCTTAGTCATTGAGTCATCTTGTCCCTAATGCTGGGCTAGATAGGCCTTTAATTGAATGCATGTGGGACCCTTCTGATAAACTGCCAATTTTGATGGTAATTCAGCTAATATCTTGGCATCCTAATGATAAAACAAAAATTATTTTCAAAGAAACCATGGGTTTACCCATGTAGCTTAATTTGTGCTGATTTGCTTCTTCCTTCTTTCATGTCCAGAAGCTGATAGGGTGGTACACTGAACCTTATTTCAGTGTTGGTAATATTTTATATTCTACCTGGAGAGAAGCACATTAATTTAGAAAGCATATGACAGTGAATAGCTTATGCAGTTCTAGCCCATAATAGAAATAATGAGCAGGGTGGCTCAAGAGAAATGATCTGATCCTGCCAGAGTTGCTTTCAACACCTACCACCTGTGATAGTGCTCACATTGTACCTAATGAGGGAAATATTTACATAATACACTGGGAACTGGAAAATTGGCAAATGTCTTCACATATAGTTGTTTCTTTTTAAAAAGTACTTTTAATTATTTGAGACGATTTGCCTCCCAACAATGGGCATGTTTTTTTCTAAGAACCTACATGAACTTGAAACTGATAGAGATTCCCTAAGATACAAACAAAATGTCTTTGAATTTTGAGGTTATACTTTTATGCTTGAAATATTTGTTGTTATTGTGAAATACCCTCAAAATGAAGGAATGAGAAAATATTGAAGATCGCCATCCCCAGAGGCAATGCAGCTCCACTCTTGTACATGTATCTTGACGTCAATCACACATACATAAAAGAAACAGCTTGTGTCACAATAATGCAATGATAGGGTTGGGGCAGAGGTGGTATTCAGCTGGTTCTGACCAGTTCTGGAGAACTGGTAGAGGAAATTTTGAATAGTTTGGAGAACCGGTAAATACCACCTCTGACTGGCCCCATCCCCATCTATTCTCTGCCTCCCGAGTCCCAGCTGATCGGGAAGGAATGGGGATTTTGCAGTAACCTTCCCCTGGAGTAGGGAGGGAATGGAGTTTTTACAGTATCCTTCCCACAAAGAGCCAAGGTGGCGCAGTGGTTAAATGCAGCACTGCAGGCTACTGCTAGATCAGCAG